GAAAGAATAAGCTTAAAATTGTACTACAGGCAAAACACACAATATCTACCTTGCAAAATAAAAGGGAGACACAATGTAACTAGTACTTACCCGATGGCCACCAAGTTCTCATGATGCGGGGAACAAGCTAGACAGAATATAGTTCTAGGCTCTGGGAAGAACTGCTGGCTGTCATTTCTGTTATACCAGTAACAAATGACTGTGCCTTTTTCATCACCGGACACAACCAAATCTTTCACGTGGGATGACCAATGCAAGGCTGAGATTGTATTCTGAAAAAATAGAATGCAGACTGATCAAGGGTGCCTACTGAAGCCTTGTCTTTAGGATTGTTCTGTAGGCCCTTTGTCTAAAGGAATAATTTACAAACACACAATAGCAGGAAGCACATGGATAAGTCTGTTTAAGCAGCTAGAAGGTAGCAGAAGCAGTAGACCAGAGTTTTCAACCTCTGGTCCGCAGATCCCTCGGAGTCCACAGACTATGTCTAAGATTTCCAAAAGGGTGCATACATTCATTTGAAAATGTTTAGGGGTCCACAAATGAAAAAAAGGTTGAAAACCACTGTTTGGTTCACAAGTGTTTTGTTTGCTAGATGGCCAGGAAAGACTCCATGGATCAAACTGGAAGGACATATTGAGTGGGGTCCTGCAGCGATCAGTTCTGGGTCTAGTTCTGTTCAATATCTTCATCAATGATTTAGATAATGGCATAGAGAGTACACGTATAAAGTCTGCAGACAATACCAAGCTGGGAGGGGTTTAAAATGCTTTGGATGATAGGATTAAAATTCAAAATGATCTGGACAAGCTGGAGAAATGGTCAGAATGAAATTCAATAAGGACAAATGCAAAGTACTCCACTTAGGAAGGAACAATCAATCGCACACATACAAAATGAGAAATGACTGCCTAGGAAGGAGTACTGCAGTAAAGGATCTGAGGGGTCATAGTGGATCGCAAGCTAAATATGAGTCAACAGTGTAACACTGTTGCAAAAAAAAGCAAACATCATTCTGGGATGTATTAGCAGGAGTGTTGTAAGTAAGACACCAAAAGTAATTCTTCCACTCTGCTCCACAGTTAGGCCTCAACTGGAGTATTGTATGCAGTTCTGGGTGCCACATTTCAGGAAAGATGTGGACAAATTGAAGAAAGTCCAGAGAAAAGCAACAAAAATGATTAAAGGTCTAGGAAACATGACCTATGAGCAATGTTCCCTCTAATTTTTGACAGGCTGTGTGCGCAAAAAATTTCTTCTGTGCAAATTTTTGACAGGCCGTATGTGGAAAACATTTCTTCTGTGCAAATTGTTGTGCGTGCGGTGTTTCGCCGTGTGCACGGGGTTTAGGATCCGTGTGTGCGCGCGCACACACACAGCTTAGAGGGAACAGTGCCTATGAGGGAAGACTGCAAAAATTGGGTTTGTTTAGTCTGGAGAAGAGAAGACTGAGGGGGGTCATGATAACAGTTTTCAAGTACATTAAAGGCTGCTATAAGGAGGAAGAAAAAATGTTTTCCTTTAACCTCTGAGGATAGGACAAGAAGAAATGGGCTTAAATTGCAGCAAAGACCGTTTAGGTTGGACATTAGAAAAAGGTTCCTAACTGTAAGAGTGGTTAAGCCCTGGAATAAATTGCCCAGGGAGATTGTGGAATCTCCATCACTGGAGATTTTTAAGAGCAGGTTAGATAAACACCTGTCAGGGATGGTCTAGATAATACTTAGTCCTGCCATGAGCGCAGGGGACTGGACTAGATGACCTCCCTTCCAGTCCTACAATTGTATAATCACAATATGAGAACCACTTCACTGTGGCCTCTGTGAAGTCAAGGATGCAATATATATAAACTTACTAGCAGGTGAAAGCCTGATGTCATGCTGATGTGGCAGTCGGGCCAAGAAATCCACCATATATGCAGTCTCCTTCATACAACCAATGAAACTCTCGCATGAAATTACTATAAGGTGGGTGTACAAGTGGTTGAAAGAAAGAAGAGTTCTTTCATACTCAAAGAAAAGTTATCAATGGTTCGCTGTCAACCTGGAAGGCTATATCTAATGGAGTCTCGCAGGGGTCAGTTCTGGGTCTGGTACTATTCAAAATTTTTATTAATAACTTGGATAATGAAGTGGAAAACATGTTTATTATATATATTACACCAAGCTGGCGGGGGTTGCAAGCACTTTGGAGGATAGGATTAGAATTCAAAACAACTATGACAATTTAGAGAACTGGTTTGAAATCAACAAGATGAAATTCAATAAAAACAAGTGTGAAGTATTTCACTTAGGATTAGGAAGGAAAAATCCAATGCACAACTACAAAATGGGGGATAACTGGCCAGGTGGTAGTACTGCTGGAAAGGTACTCACCATCTTGGGGGGGGGGGAGGGGGCAGCGCAGATCACTGTGCACCGCAAGTTGAATACGAGTCAACAATATGAAAAAGGTGTGAAAAAAGGCTAACATCCTTCTGGGTATTAACAGAAGTGCTGTATATAAGAGACACGACAGACGATTGTCCTGCTCTACTGGTCAACGGTGAGTACCTCAGCTGGAGTACCGTGTTCAATTCTGGGCGCCAACCTTAGAAGAGGTGTAGACAAACTGGAGAAAGTCCACAGGACAGCAACAAAAATGATAAAAGGTTTAGAACACCAGACCTATGAGGAAAGGTAGGGGAGTAAACCAAAACCAGGCATATTTATTCATGATAAAAGATGACTGAGAGGAGACCGGATAACAGTCTTCAAATATGTTAAGGACTGCTATAAAGAGGATGGTGATCAACTGTTTTCCATATACTTCTTGTCTTACGTTAATGGAATGGCTTAATCTGCAGCAAGGGAAAAAACTTTCAAACTGTAAGGGTAGTTAAGTTCTGGAATAGGCTTCCCAGAGAAGTTGTGGAATCCCCCTCACTGTAAGGGTTTAAGATCAGGACCGACAAACATTTAACAGTGATGGTCTAGGTTTACTTAGTCCTGCCTAAGTGCAAGGAGCTAGACCTGATGACCTCTCAAGGTCCCTCCCAACCAGACACTTCTATGATTCTGTGCAAACTAGCTGTAGAGTAAGGGTGGTTGAGTGACCTCTGATATCTAGGATTCTTGGCATGGGATAGATACATGCCTTACTGCACAGGTGTAATTTGTAAAGTCAAAATGGCCAAGAACTTAAATACTGGATAACAGACTGCAAATCCCAGTGATAATTAAATCAGGTGAAATTATAAACCAAAAGTGCTTTCAAACATGCTTGTAGCAGTTTCATTACTTCACACTGACTCAGCAGACATTCTAGGCTTCGGCGTGACACACAAAGTGACAATCCTGGAATCTTACTACAATATATAATTTTTTTTGAAAATCTACCTAGAAATCAGAATTAGAGAGACCTCCTGATTTTGATTTCAGGTTATTTCACAGACTGAAGTACAGTTACAAACACACCAAAACATACAGCTCTTTACTGCTTCCAGTAGGAAAGGCAAATGCTGGTATTTAAACGAGTTTCTAAACAAATGCAGCTTTCAAAGTTCTATTCTACAGTTTCTGTTTCCAAACTGGTCCATGGACCTCTTCTGGTTTCTAGCTGTCTGACAGGCATTGAGAAACTGGTGCAACTTTGTCTTTGCCTAAGAAAAGAAAAGATTCTGGAACCTTGTTTTAGAGTTTTTCCACAGGCACGGGGATAGGCTACTATACCTGATGCAGCGTATGCTCAGTCACGACAGTCAGCGTCTGCGTATCCCAGATTTTCACAGTTCCATCGTCAGAGCTGCTGGCGCAGAAGTTGCTCTGACCAGGATAGCGACAAAACGCGAAACCAGAAACCCTTTCAGTATGGCCTACGAGTTCCCCTAGGATTGCAAAAGCAGAAGACATAAACAAAACAAATTCCAGCTTCAGAAACACAACTATTCTTCTAAATTTAGACAACAATATTTTCGATATAGCTTCTAAATGTCACAGAAGTCAAAACATCATTCTTTGCAACATCCACTGACTACTGCTGCGAAAGCTGTTTAAAGCAGGATGATTATGAGAACACCACAACAGATACCAAATTTGTTGGCGAGCTCAGATGCGGGCAGGTTTCTCAAGCCCAGGTGACATCCAATGTGCTTTGAAAGCCTACATGAATTAAAAACCATTCTCTGGCCCGGGCCTGCTGATTCGGGCTTGTGGGGCTCGGGCTGTGGGACAATTTAATTGCGGTATAGACGCCTAGGCTCGGCCTGGGCTCTAACACCCCATGAGTTGGGACCCTTCCTGAGTAACTCCACGTGTGGACCCTCTCGCTCTGGAATAAACCTGGATTAAGCTGAACAGGAACAAGTTACTCTGGAACAAGTGTGTCCACATACAGAGCTGGGCAGAAATACCGCCTGCCCTTTAATCTCACACCCGACTGCGTCTGAAGTGCAGATAAGCCCTCAGGGTGCATGCATCTGCACAGCCACCCCGTCTCCCACGTGCCCCGGGCTCTCCAGAGAGAGGGACGAAGGGGGTGCGCGGCTAGGGCCAGAGCCGCAGTGAGAGGCCGGGGTGTGGGGCAAGGTCCATGAAGGGGATCACTGCGAGCTCACTGGCCCCAGGGCCGGGGGTCCCCCGCGCCCCCCACGCGGCCCCGGGCTGAGGTGTCCCAGGCTCTCGGTCTCAGACCCCGGGGCAGGCTGGCGCGGACCCCACGCCGCCGGGTGAGGGCGGAGGCGGGTGACCCCCCCGGGGGGAGGAGGGGAACGGGGGTCCCCGCCCCGCGAGGGGCAGAAGCTACCGTGGAAGGCGGGCGCGGCGCCGATCTCCAGCAGGTAGACGCTGTTCCTGGCCCCGAAGCCGAAGAGGCGGCCGGCCCCGCAGGTGTCGCAGCAGCGGCTGCAGTACCAGTTGGGGGAGGCGGGCAGCACCCGCTCGGCCGCCATCTCCCCCGGCAGCGCGGCCGGCCTCAGCCGCCCTCACTTCACCCGCCCGCGGGCAGCGTTACCAGGCGCTGCCGCAAAGCGCCGCTCGCACGCTGTCGCACCACGACCCCTGACCTCCCGGCGCACGAGCGCCGGGCCGGGGCCGCGGGCGGCGCTGCGCATGCGTGGAGAGCAGCTGCTGCGAGGCGAGCCGGAGAAGATGGCGGCGCCGGTGGTGGTCGGAGCTGGTGAGCGTGAGGGGAGGTGGGACGGGGATGGGGGGAGGCGTTTGTCCGCCGCTTCCTCACTAACTCCCCGCTTCGCCGTTGTAGGGGCTGCCTGGGCGCGGAGCCTTCTCAGCTGGGCCCGGCCGGAGAGGTAAGTCTGACCCCCCAACCCCCCCCGCAGGCAGGGTCGGATCTCCCGGGCTGAGGCTCTGCCCCCCGGGAGGGTGCGCCCCGGTTGGGGGGCGGCCCGCCCCGCCTCTCGGGAGGGTGTGTGCTGGGGGCGGGGGGGGCGGCGCTATAAGGTCAATAGCCGAAAAGCGGGCAAGAATTAGTTAAATTGCAGACGGTAGTGTCTCCTTGCTCGATGATAGGATTCTTTCAGGCCAGTTCATTTTTATATGCAGGGACAAATGAATGGGTTAAGTCTTTCAATCTGGAAGGGGGTGTGCTGGCTGTGTTACTGACCAGGACTGAAGTACTTTGGCGGCATTGATGGGCACTTACGTTTGGAATAGCTGTACAGGAAGGCTCACTGCTCATCTCAGTGAGTCCCAGATTTCTCAAAAACACAGGAGAAATGCCCTTGGCATAAAGGCATATCTCTTATAACTTCCTTTTACTAGTTGCCAATGTTAAATATACATGTAAGTTTACCAAACTCACATTTTTCTTTGCTGTTTAAACTCATCTGGTACAGGCTGATGTTTCAGTGACTTAGCATACAGTCAGTTTCAGTTATCTGGATAGGATCACACTGCACAGGTCCAGCAGCAAAACAATTAAAATATAGTTTCTTGCAGGTTACTAGCATCTTGCAGTATTTCTCTTCTGTCAAATATCCAAACAAGAACGTATCTTCAGAATGTCGGGAGATGGGAGAAGAAGAACAGAATGGTTTACCCTCCGCAGCTGCCAGGAGAGCCTCGAAGACCAGCAGTAAGAATTCACCTGTGAAATCTCTCTACCTACTTATATGTAGCAAATAGTTGCTTCCAAGCAGACTGCTGCCTATCTCTGGCTAATTCCACAAGGCAATCACGTATAACTAGTTAGTAGACTCAGTCCAAGATTTGGGTATTTTAGGCATCTTTTATTCATAACTGTATCAGCAAAGGAGGTTCATTTAATCTTAGAATTTAGAAATGGGAAAGAGCTACGGAATCCTCAAGTCTCAGCTTGGACCTCAGTTATTGTTTAATTTGATTGCCCAACTAATTTGTGTTTTGCATAATACAAAGCTACAGATTAACTTACTTATTGTTGGTCACTCTGCCAAGCTAACTAAATGCTGAGCCTTGAACTGACTGAGGAAAGCAACATGAGAATCCTTTCTCTAATTATTTCCTTAATATTGCCTTCCTCTGCTGCTCGGTCAAGATAGTGTGGGAAAAGCTAGCTTAATTATGTGCATGCTGAGTCAAATTCAGTTGGTAGAAAAATAGAATAATGTTTTATGTAGTTGAGTTCACAATTAATTTCAAATCTGGAAAAATAAGCCTATTACGTGATTACATTCTTACCTTGCTTCTTTGGGGCACTTAAAAGCTGGAAATCAGGGTGGATAAAAATCAGTGATGTAAAAAAAAATTTAAAAATCATTTTTTTAATTTAAATTGGATTTTTTGATAAAATGCTTTTTGAGGGAAAAAAACCTATCTAAAGATAGATGTATTATAGCTCAAAGATATCATGGAATAAGGATTATAAATTCTTAATTCTATAGTGTGAGCCAATATATTCATGTAACGTTTAAGAAAAGTTTTGTAAATGAGTCCCAGTAGTTCATGGGTTAGGGACCCAATCTTATGGGGTTTCAGGGGCTTCTGTATAGATTATTTAGGTTAATCTTTCTATCTGCCCAATGGGACTCAGTGCTCAGTCTAGAAGATACCATCAGAGATGCTTAGTTTTGCAGTTCTCAAACTGTGGATTTGTGTCTCCAGTGATAACATGTTTGTTAACAGCAAAATTGTTTTAAAATAAATACATAATGTATAGGAGGTGAGAGATAACAGACCTCAACCCTATTGTCCCTCTGCAAATTTGTGTACAGGGAGTCAATCCCTTACCTCTCTCTAAAAGTGCAAAGTTTCAAAAAGTTCAATGAATAAAAGATTATTGGGGGCAGAATAGGTCTGGACTCGGGGGAAGAAGTCTGGAGATAAATGTGAGAAGGGAGGGACAGGCAATAGAAACAAAAGTGAAACTGTTTGAGCAGCATATTCCGGAAGTCCTGAGCTCTTTCTGAGTGTAGCCTTCATTGATTTGAGATCTACCATACCATTCTTTCACTAGAAGGGAAAACCTATAATGGCAGCAGGCCGTAAAAGAGACCCAGTTTGGAAATAAGAACTATTCAAGAATTTGCTGATGTTTTTTTTAAAGAAAGTCAAACCAGTGAACTGGTGGAAGTCACTTAAGCACTCGGATTCAGAGACTGTTGAAGTGATATCTCACTTTTAACAGCAGTAGCTTCTTCTGCAGATGTAGAAAGAATATTTTCTTCCTTTGGACGAATTCATTCCAAATTGAGAAATCATTTGGAACCTGAAAAAGCAGGAAAGCTTGTTTTTTCTTTTTCATATTATGAATAAACAGGAAAATGAAGGTGAAGACGACTGAGTTAGCTGCAGAAGCCAATATTTTAAGTTTCTCATGTTGACTTGGCTGACATAGTCGATTTAATTTTTTTTAAATATTTCATTTAACTATTTTAGTTAAAAACCATTTTAACAAAAACAAACCTGATTTTAAAAAAATTGAATGTTTAAATTCAAAAATTCATATGCTTGTTTTGTTAAAATATTATGTTTGCTGTTGAAGAAAAAAATCCAGAATATATAACGTTGTTGTTTTAGTTAAATAAAACTATTTAAATGTCTGTCTGGTGATGTTCTCCTCCTAATAGAGCATGCCAAGAAAATTCTCCAAATATTAATGATTAACCTTTTGAATTGGAGATGGTTCACCTCCCAATGACTTCATAAATAATTTGCTTCAGTTACCTTTGGTAAATGAAATAACCAAACAGTCATTCATTTTCTGATATATCTGTAAAAGAATCTGAAAAGTTTTCAAAATCACTTAAAAAATGTATAGTGTGTATCTTCTAAAATTGAAACCTACATCTATCTCTGAGTTGTGAAGAATATGTATTAAGGTTATAACAACCAACAAGAATGCACATTTAAATCGAATCCACCCTGCTGGAAATGTAGTTAGATATGCTAGGGTTTTTTTCTGTCGGCTTGTGTTTAATGTGTAACTAGATAAACTAAATATTGAAAGGCTGGGCACTGGAGGAAGGAGTAGTACTACCTTTAAGATCTCAAAATTAGCAGCCTGCACTGAGATGTATGGGAAATTTTGGAAGGTTCATTTTAAAATTCTTCCAAGTATTTCACTTGGAACTAAAAATTGTAGTCCTGTATTTTTATAACTCTTTACTTAAAAGTAATGAATTTAGTATCAAGTGTTTGGATTGTTGCTCAGCAAAGCTTAAATGAAAAGCACTTGCATCTCAAAAGAATAGTTGATTTAAAAAAAAATGCACTTTATTTTGTGTGGGACAGGAGCCTTTGATCTTAAGCCTTAAGAATATGTGCAGTGAGTAATGAAATGAATGAAACGTTAATTATATAATTTATTAAAATATAAATCATCTTCTTTTATTTAAAATTTTGCACTGATGTGTTAAATTCCACTTGCTGTTTCTAGCCCTTGTAGGTGCAGTAGTGGTGTTCAAGTGGCTCTTTGGAGACAGCTTTTCTTATCAATCACTGATTGAGAAGCCATCCTGCTTCTGAAGGGTTAATTAAGTTCATTTATAGCACCAGTGTGTAGAAGCGTTAATAAAATGTTTTGACCAGATATGTTTGACCTGGAGTTCTTGTAGTGTAATAGCAGAAGTGGTCATCTTGCCTTGTAAGATTATTTTTTCTTCCCAAGATATTATGAACATTCCATCTTCTCACTTTCACAGCCAAATCACCACTATTATAGCTTTAAAAAAAAATCTCTTTTCCCTAGGAAATATTCCACTGTCGAAGGGACATAAAATACAGTAAGGACAAGATGTGGTATTTGGCAAAACTGGTAAGAGAAAATTTTAACTTTGTGCAATGTTCTTGGTAGGAAAGTGTAAATATTTTTAATTCCTATATTTCTAACTTATTGCTTTGGATAAGCAGAAGCCTGATTCAGCCAGTTTGTTCACCTTTTGCGTTGTAAAATCTCTGGAAAACTCTTCCCATGGTTTTGTATAAGCTTGCTCATCTAGTGCAGATGACTAATAATTTGCATTTCTGTAGAGCCAACTAACTGCTGTTCAGCAGCAGATAGTGGTAGGAATTTTGGTCAAGGACCATCCTTCCCTTATGAAAAATTGTACGGCAATTGACTGATAAAAATTCTGCACTAAAGGTTTTATTGTGTGGTGGATGGGAATGGGGTGCTAAAATCTTTGAAATTTAACTACAATATCAGCATTGTTCCTGGCACTGCAATCTTAAATAACATTTTTTTTCTCCCTTTTGTTCAGAAGGGTTTAATTTTTCTGTTAACTTCTCCTAATTCCAGATAAAAGGAATGTCAATTGATCAGGCTCTTGCTCAGCTGGAATTCAATGACAAGAAGGGTGCAAAGGTGATCAAAGAGGTATATTGTGCAATTCTTTAGCACTTCAGTGTCCAAACAGACTTTTTCAAACTCATACCTATATCAGAGTTTCAAGAGACTTTCCATTAAGCCCACCTGGAATATTTTGATCAAGTCATATTGGCTACACTAATTAATTTATTCTGCTCTAATTTATCCAGGCATTAATGACCTCTGCACACAATATTTTAGTAACCAGTGGTAGCAGAGTGCGTGAGTGTTCTCTGTTCATAATGAGCAGCCTTCAAAAACATTTAAACTCATGTCTCTAAGCTTATAGCTTAAAACATATTTTGAATTTATAAATTGTAGGGTACAAAAAGGGAGAACACCTGAGTCTTGTATGAAAATCTCTATGATTGGCTTTATGTTGCAAATGTCATAGGCCTCTTAAACAGGTGACCCACTTGCTCACTAGAGGGGGCATCAGTTTTCAATACAAAAATACTGAAGTAAAGCATGTCACTTTTCACCTTGAAACAGTGAACTTCAGTGGTTAATCCTGCACAACCTCAGAAATTGCATTTCTAGTCTAGAGTGTGACCCTTCATGAAGATGAACATAAGAACAGCCATATTGGGTCAGACCAATGGTCTGTATAGTGCAGTATCCTGTCTTCAGGCAGTGGCCAGTGCCAGGTGTTTAAAGGGAATGAACAGAATAGGGCAATTTTCAAGTGATCCAACCCTGTCATCCACTCCTTCTGGCAGTTAAAGGCTTAGGACACCCAAAGCATCAGGTTGCATCTCAGGTCTATCAATGGCTCTTAGCCAAGATGATCAGTCTTCCATGAACTTGTCTAATTCTTTTTTGAACCCAGTTATAGCTTTGGCCTTCACAACATCCCCTGGCAACAGGTTCCACAGGTTGACTGTGCATTGTGTGAGGAAGTACTTTTGTTTGTTTTAAATCTGCTGCCTATTAATTTCATTAGGTGACCCCTGTTTCTTGTGTTGTGTGAAGGGGTTAAAAAAAGAAAAAAGATTTAAAGCTGGCACTTGCTGGAAAAAAAACTAAAGTGAAGATTTATTTTCGGCAAATCTTTATCTCCATTTAGCATAGAAGTTGGTCACCATCAGTTTGTGCCCCAAATTTAACATCCCTCTAAATTGTTACTTCTGGGGAAAGTGCACAATATTGTAACTATTTTAGTGTTTTTGTGAATCTGTTAAGCCCAGATTTTTAAACCTATTTAAACATTGCAGCCCCTTTTGAAAATGAGATCGAGGCTCCTAAATCAGTTAGGCTTTGCAACACTCAGTGGTGCAATGCTTAAGTACCTTTTAAAAAAAATCTGGGCTTACATCACTTAAGAACTCTTAAATACTTTTGTGGGACCCATATGTTACATCATGCTACAGAGAGGGTTGTTGCTTATGTATGATCATCCTAGTAACAGCATTAGCATGAACAGTGAAAAAGTATCCCATGAAGCAATCTTTAACTTTTAAATTAAATTCCAAACTTTATATCTCAATTTCTTACGACTTTTCCCCTTTAGCTAAAATACGTCTGTGTTTAATTTGTTGAAACTGAACCTGCATCCAAATATGTAGGAAAAGAACCCCCTTCTAGAGTACAGGTCAAATTCATCACTGGCATAAGCATGCACAACTCCACTGATGCTAATGGAGATGACCACTTCCACCAGTGGTGAGTTTAGCCCTACATCTGCACCTGTATCACAACTACACCAGAGACCATCCCTGCCATTTTCAAAGCTTCTCTGAAAGAGAGAAAGAGGCCCCCTGCTTGTAGTCTCATCCTTTTAGAATCCGTTTCTACTACTGGTTTAAAAATGGAAACAATTACGGGTATCTTTATGGAGATGAGAAATTGCATTGCTTTAATTCATGTTCACCATTTATTTTCTTTTGCTCTAGGTTCTTCTGGAAGCTCAAGAAATGGCAGTGAGAAATCACAACGTAGAATTCAAATCAAATTTATACATAGGTAAAATTGTTTCTTATTTTTTTAAAACTGCTTCTGCTGGAGCCTGGAGGAGCACTCAGTGGCTGCTCTGGCAAGAGAGGTAGCAGTGGCGCTCCGCTCCTGCCCTGAGCACAGCTCCCCATCCTGCTCAACGCAACTCTCCCCCTCCACTCTCCTTCCCCCCTCAGAGCGTGGCTCCCCCCTGTCCTGCCCCACTCGCCACCCTGCCCTGGCTCCCGGGGGGGGTGAAGAGGGGAGGAGGGGGTGTGATTGAAAAAGTTTGGGGACCACTGTGCTACAGCATTGCAGCCCATTCCAGGCAGCTACTGACCTTGCTCTTCCCTGAGGCTCTTTTTATATGGGCCTGCTGGGCCCTGATTGGCTTCTCCTCACAGCCCCTCTCCCATTGGCGGCTTCTCCTGCAGCATCCCCAGGGTTCTGTTAAGCCAGGGGTAGGCAAACTTTTTCGCCGGAGGGCCACATTGGAGTGTGAAACTGTATGGAGGGCTGGGTAGGGAAGGCTGTGCCTCCCCAAACAGCCTGGCCCCTTTCCCCATCCGCCCCCCTTCCGCTTCCTGCCCCTTGACTGCCCCCCTCAGAACCCCCGACCCATCCAACCCCCCTGCTCCTTCTCCTCTGACTGCCCCCCCAGGACCCCACCCCCTTCCACCCCATCCAACCACTCCCTGTCCCCTTATCCAACCCCCTGCCCCTCCCCCCCACCCCCTTACCGTGCAGCTCAGAGCCGCAGGAGCTCACTGGCCAGAGCCAGCCGCGCTGCCCGTGCAGCAGCATGGCTGCGTGGGAGGGGGGACAGCAGGGGAGGGGCCAGGAGCTCGCCTCCCGAGCCAGGAGCTCATGGGCCATAGTTTGCCCACCACCTCTGTGTTAAGCCCTTACAGGCCAGCATGGGGCCAACACCATCACAACTACAAATTTTATTCTTTAGCAAAATGCTAATGTTAAAAACCAGAGAACCTCAGTACTCCATCTTCCCAGAGCAGTTAAGAATTAGGCAATCAAGCCTTTAGTCAGTACTTGCAGTTACCAGCACTTTCTACAGCGTTTAACACCATTTTTAGGAAGAGAGACAAACATCCATCAAAATACCAGATAGAATCTCTACTAGCTGTATACAAACGGACAGTCTCATTTGGAGGAGGAGGCTTGACTTTAGCAAATAAGAATAATTCAGTCTGTCTTACTGGTACTGTTTCAGTGCTACCAGGTAGCTTTGACAATCCTGGATGAGTAGAGAGCAGGTTTCCATTCACCCTCAGTATTCATGCTAACACCTATGTCTGTAATCCACCAAACAAATTAATTTTAACTTGCCTTAGAAACGTCTTATTCAAGAGCAGGCACATTTTTATGGTGTGGACCACATCTTAAGACTACTTGTGGAACATGTCCTTCTCCATGCACAATCACATGACAGGCCTAGGGAAACTCCAGCAATGGCTTCCATGGGAAAATGCTAGGAAAATATTTATATACCCTTAATTGTCTTTTGGGCAAAAAACATTTTTATTTAAAAACGTTTATTGCACTGTCTGTCCAACTCTTTGTGCCATCTCTGCCTCTGATCCAGTCCCGTCTCTTCCTCAGTCTTTTCTATTGCTTGGTTTTCTTCTCCTTTGCATGTGCTGTCTAGTCAGCTGGTGCCCTTCTCTCTCTGGACATTCTGCACACAAACACCCCCCCCCCCCCCAAAAAAAAAAACACAGAAAAATTCATAGATTCATAGATATTTAGGCCAGAAGGGACCATTATGATCATCTAGTCTGACCTCCTGCACAATGCAGGCCACAGAATTTCACCCACCACTCCTAAAAAAGACCTCACACCTATATCTGTGCTATTGCAGTCCTCAAATTGTAGTTTGAAGACCTCAAGGAGCAGAGAATCCTCCAGCAAGTGACCCGTGCCCCATGCTACAGAGGAAGGCGAAAAACCTCCAGGGCCTTCCAATCTGCCCTGGAGGAAAATTCCTTCCTGACCCCAAATATGGCGATCAGCTAAACCCTGAGCATATGGGCAAGATTCATCAGCCAGATACTACAGAAAATTCTTTCCCGGGTAACTTGGATCTTACCCCATCTAAAAACCCATCACCCAATTCAGTTGTCCTCTGAAGAGTTATTGAATTAAATATGGAGACTGAATTTAGCAGTGTGAAATAACCAGATTTTTATCCCACTTTAAGTGCAAATCTGAACCCCCCAACTGTGGAATTGTAACTGTGTTTCTAACAGGACACTGAACTCCAATACTTATCAATGATGGTCTTGTGTGTAGTAATGTGTGGGGTTTTTTTTCTGTGTATGACTGCTGTAGTGTCACGTTTTCAAGGATCTATCCTTTCCAATAGTGTGTAACTTACATTTAGATGTGGAATACTAGCCAACAGTTCTCTTACTTTTGAGTAGCTGAACTTCTGTCAACCTCTCATTAACGTAATAGAGATTCTAAATGAAGTGCTTTTAGACACAGCCTTACATGCAGTCTTCTCATTTGTCCCCTATCAAATTTCTGCTATTACCTCTCACGGCATGATCAGTGCCATGGAATGTTCATTTTGCTTTTGAACTTAGAATGATGAAAAAAGGCAATGGAATTGGCTTCTAACAAGGGGAAAAATAGAATCATAGAAGATTAGGGTTGGAAGAGACCTCAGGAGGTCATCTAGTCCAACCCCTTGCTCAGGGCAGGACCAACCCCAACTAAATCATCCCAGCCAGGGCTTGTCAAGCTGGGCCTTAAAAACCTCTAAGGATGGAGGTTCCACCACCTCCCTAGCATGTCACTTCATAATATTCATGACCTCTGAAGTGGACAGTTTGGGAGAAAGTGACTGAACTGATTGGTGAGTTACTCCTTTCTGGGGGAGGGTTAAAGAAAGGTGTCTTGTAATGTTAAAGTTTTAAGGGAAACATTTAACTGAAATGCTTGTTAATGGAGTACTAATGGGCAAGGCAAGCTGTTTTAAAACTAAAGGAGGACTTGTGGCACCTTAGAGACTAACAAATGTATTTGAGCATAAGCTTGCGTGAGCTACAGCTCACTTCATCGGATGCATTCAGTGGAAAATGCAGTGGGGAGATTTATAGACACAGACAACATGAAACAATGGGTGTTAACATACACCTGTAATGAGAGTGGTAAGGTGAGCTATTATCAGCAGGAGAGCGGGGTGGGGAGGGGGGAGAACCTTTTGTAGCGATAATCAAGGTGGGCCATTTCCAGCAGTTGACAAGAATGTCTGAGGAATGGGGGGGGGATAAACATGGGGAAATAGTTTTACTTAGTGTAATGACCCATCCACTCCCAGTCTTTATTCAAGCCTAAGTTAATTGTATCCAGTTTGCAAATTAATTCCAATTCAGCAGTCTCTCGTTGGAGTCTGTTTTTGAAGTTTTTTTGTTGAAGTTTTTTGTTGAAGCATTGCCACTTTTAGGTCTGTAATCGAGTGACCAAAGAGAGATTGAAGTGTTCTACGACTGGTTTTTGAATGTTATAATTCTTGACATCTGATTTGTGTCCATTTATTCTTTTACGTAGAGACTGTCCAGTTTGACCAATGTACATGGCAGAGGGGCATTGCTGGCACATGATGGAATATATCACATTGGTAGATGTGCAGATGAATGAGCCTCTGATAGTGTGGCTGATGTGATTAGGCCCTATGACGATGTCCCCTGAATAGATGTGTGGACACAGTTCGCAACAGGCTTTGTTGCAAGGATAGGTTCCTGGGTTAGTGGTTCTGTTGTGTGGTGTGTGGTTGCTGGTGAGTATTTGCTTCAGGTTAGGGGGCTGTCTGTAAGCAAGGACTGGCCAGTCTCCCAAGATCTGTGAGAGTGATGGGTCGTCCTTCAGGATAGACTGTAGATCCTTGATGATGCATTGGTGAGGTTTTAGTTGGGGGCTGAAGGTGGTGGCTAGTGGCGTTCTGTTATTTTCTTTGTTGAGCCTGTCCTGTAGTAGGTAACTTCTGGGTACTCTTCTGGCTCTGTCAGTCTGTTTCTCCACTTCAGCAGGTGGGTATTGTAGTTGTAAGCTGTAGTTGACAGAGATCTTGTAGGTGTTTGTCTCTGTCTGAGGGGTTGGAGCAAATGTGGTTGCATCATAGAGCTTGGCTGTAGACAATGGATCGTGTGGTGTGGTCTGGATGAAAGCTGGAGGCATGTAGGTAGGAATAATGGTCAGTAGGTTTCCGGTATAGGGTGATGTTTATGTGACCATCGCTTATTAGCACCGTAGTGTCCAGGAAGTGGATCTCTTGTGTGGACTGGTCCAGGCTGAGGTTGATGGTGGGATGGAAATTGTTGAAATCATGGTGGAATTCCTCAAGGGCTTCTTTTCCATGCGTCCAGATGATGAAGATGTCATCAATGTAGTGCAAGTAGAGTAGGGGCTTTAGGGGACGAGAGCTGATGAAGCGTTGTTCTAAGTCAGCCGTAAAAATGTTGGCATATTGTGGGGCCATGCGGGTACCCATGGCAGTGCCGCTGATCTGAAGGTATACATTGTCCCCAAATGTGAAATAGTTATGGGTGAGGACGAAGTCACAAAGTTCAGCCACCAGGTTTGCCGTGACGTTATTGGGGATAGTGTTCTTGACGGCTTGTAGTCCATCTTTGTGTGGAATGTGGGTGTAGAGGCCTTCTACATCCATAGTGGCTAGGATGGTGTTTTCAGGAAGATCACCGATGGATTGTAGTTTCCTCAGGAAGTCAGTGGTGTCTCGAAGGTAGCTGGGAGTGCTGGTAGCATAGGGCCTGAGGAGGGAGTCTACATAGCCAGACAATCCTGCTGTCGGTGCCAATTCCTGAGATGATGGGGTGTCCAGGATTTCCAGGTTTATGGATCTTGGGTAGCAGATAGAACACCCCTGGTCAGGGTTCCAGGGGTGTGTCTGTGCAGATTTGTTCTTGTGCTTTTTCAGGGAGTTTCTTGAGCAAATGGTGTAGTTTCTTTTGGTAACCCTCAGAGGGATCAGAGGCTAATGGCTTGTAGCAAGTGGTGTTGGAGAGCTGCCGAGCAGCCTCTTGTTCATATTCCGACCTATTCATGATGACGACAGCACCTCCTTTGTCAGCCTTTTTATTATGATGTCAGAGTTGTTTCTGAGACTGTGGATGGCATTGTATTTTGCACAGCTGATTTTATGGGGCAAGTGATGCTGCTTTTCCACAATTTCAGCCCGTGCACATCGGCGGAAGCACTCTATGTAGAAGTCCAGTTTGTTGTTTCGACCTTCAGGAGGAGTCCACACAGAATCCTTCTTTTTGTAGTCTTGGTAGGAAGGTCTCTGGGGGTCAGTATGTTGTTCAGAGGTGTGTTGGAAATATTCCTTGAGTCGGAGATGTTGAAAATAGGATTCTAGGTCACCACAGAACTATATCATGTTCGTGGGGGTGGAGGGGCAGAAGGAGAGGCCCCGAGATAGGACAGGTTCTTCTGCTGGGCTAAGAGTATAGTTGGATAGATTAACAATATTGCTGGGTGGGTTAAGGGAACCACTGTTGTGGCCCCTTGTGGCATGTAGTAGTTTGGATAGTTTAGTGTCCTTTTTCTTTTGTAGAGAAGCAAAGTGTGTGTTGTAAATGGCTTGTCTAGTTTTTGTAAAGTCCAGCCACGAGGAAGTTTGTGTGGAAGGTTGGTTTTTTATGAGTGTCCAGTTTTGAGAGCTCATTCTTAATCTTTCCCTGTTTGCTGTAGGGGATGTTGATCAGATGGTTCCGCAGTTTCTTTGAGAGTGTGTGGCACAAGCTGTCAGCATAGTCTGTGTGGTATGTAGATTGTAATGGATTTTTTACCTTCAGTCCTTTTGGTACGATGTCCATCTGTTTGCATTTGGAAAGGAAGATAATGTCTGTCTGTATCTGTACGAGTTTTTTTCCATGAAGTTGATAGATTTCCACTCCATACAGCTAAATTCAGTGCCTTGCACAATGACAGGTTTCAGAGTAGCCGCCGTGTTAGTCTGTATCCGCAAAAAGAAAAGGAGGAGTACTTGTGGCACCTTAGAGGCGAACAAATTTATTTGAGCATAAGCTTTCTTGAGCTACAACTCACTTCATCAGATGCATGCAGTGGAAAATACAGGGGGGAGATTTATATACCCATTGTTTCATGTTCGCTGTGTATATAAATCTCCCCACTTTATTTTCCACTGAATACATCCGATGAAGTGAGCTGTAGCTCACGAAAGCTCATGCTCAAATAAATTTGTTCGTCTCTAAGGTGCCACTAGTACTCCTTTTCTTTTTGCGGATACAGACTAACACGGCTGCTACTCTGAAACCTGCTTTAAAACTGTATTCCACCTTAGTTCCTTTATTGCCCAGAGACGCAGGTCCTGCTTACTCCGCAGTCACTTCATAAGGTGCTACACTGTGTTCCCTTATGTTCCCATTGAGTTCCTTAAGGAAAAAATCTACAGCAAAGTAAATCAAGAATGAGATAAAAGCACACATGTTCTAGGGCAAATCCTGAAGCTGTGGCTTTAGCACACCTCTAGCCAGATGTAGCAAACAGCATATTCTACTTCAGATCCATGCAGTTTGTTTGTAATATCTGGCTGGTCCGTTTTGGCAAAGCCTGGTACTCAGGAGCAGAGGTGCTAAAAAGCTGAGTGGAATTTGAGCAAAATCAGCTTTTGTTGTTGCTAGTGCAGTGTGTTGTGGGATTTTGTTTGCATCATAGCTCCACCTTATTCCTGCATGTGCTACTTGGCAGCAAGGTAAAACACCAGACGTAAAAAGTAGGGCTAGAGATTAATCTCAGTTAACTCATGTGATTAACTAAAGAAAATTAATAGTGAATAAAAAAATTAATCACAGTTTTAATCACACTGTTAAATTTCAATTGGGATTTTATTGTTTGTTAAATATTTTTGGATGTTTTTCTTCATTTCAAGTATATTGATTTCAGTTACAACACAGAATACACAGTGTACAGTGCTCACTTTATATTTATTTGTTATTACAAACATTTGCACTATAAAATGATAAAATATAGTATTTTTCAGTTCTCCCATTACAAGTACTGTAGTGCAGTGGGGGACTGGAAAAATACTATTTTTGTTTTTTTACAATGCAAATATTTGTAATAAAAATAAATATAAAGTGAGCACTGTATTCTGTTGTAATTTAAATCAATCAATATATTTGAAAATGTAGAAAAATCCAAAAATATTTAAATAAATGGTGTTCTGTTGTTTAACAACGTGATTAACTGTGATTACTTTTTTCAATCGCCTGACAGCCATAGTAAAAAGCATTGTGTTGGGCCAAATGCCAGAAAGTACTCCGAATCCTACAAATGACACATTAGAAGCCCAGCACTCCGTAGCCAACAGAGCTGTGTACATCTTCTGCTGTAGCCCTTGAGGACATTTGGAGGTCTCATAACTGAATAAATTACTTTCTGATGACAGGCCTTAGAATCATAGAATATCAGGGTTGGAAGGGACCTCAGGAGGTCATCTAGTCCAACCCCCTGCTCAAAGCAGGACCAATCCCCAACTAAATCATCCCAGCCAGGGCTTTGTCAACCCTGACCTTAAAAACTTCTAAGGAAGGAGATTCTACCACCTCCGTAGGTAACGCATTCCAGTGTTTCACCACCCTCTTAGTGAAAATTTTTTTCCTAATATCCAACCTAAACCTCCCCCACTGCAACTTGAGACCATTACTCCTTGTCCTGTCCTCTTCTACCACTGAGAATAGTCTAGAACCATCCTCTCTGGAACCACCTCTCAGGTAGTTGAAAGCAGCTATCAAATCCCCCCTCATTCTTCTCTTCTGCAGACTAAACAATCCCAGTTCCCTCAGCCTCTTCTCATAAGTCATGTGTTCCAGACCCCTAATCATTTTTGTTGCCCTTTGCTGGACTCTCTCCAATTTATCCACATCCTTCTTGAAGTGTGGGGCCCAAAACTGGACACAGTACTCCAGATGAGGCCTCACCAATGTCGAATAGAGGGGAACGATCACGTCCCTCGATCTGCTCGCTATGCCCCTACTTATACATCCCAAAATGCCATTGGCCTTCTTGGCAACAAGGGCACACTGCTGACTCATATCCAGCTTCTCGTCCACTGTCACCCCAGGTCCTTTTCCGCAGAACTGCTGCCTAGCCATTCGGTCCCTAGTCTGTAGCTGTGCATTGGGTTCTTCTGTCCTAAGTGCAGGACCCTGCACTTATCCTTATTGAACCTCATCAGATTTCTTTTGGCCCAATCCTCCAATCCTTATTGCTTTGTGGTTAGTGCATTGCACAGCTACCCAAGATCTCTGCTCTAAGCCACTCTTAGTCCTTGGACTGAAGGTGCTGTAGAGGGAATGTCATAAGATCTTCCTCATGTTACCTTAAAGTGACCTTAGTTGCATAGCAGATAGGCTCTAAAGAGTCCCAGCCAGGCTACTGAGGTCAAGAAGAGTCAATGATTTAGATAATGGCAGAGAAAGTATACTCAAAGTTTGCAGATAATACCAAGCTGGGAGGGGTTGCAAGTGTTTTGGAGGATAGGATTAAAATTCAAAATGATCTGGACAAACTGGAGAAATGGTCTGAAATAAATAGGATGAAATTCCATAAGGACAAAAGCAAAGAACTCCCCATAGGACCAATCAGTGGCACACATACAAAATGGGAAATGACTGCCTAGGAAGGAGTACTGTGGAATGGGATCTGGGGGTCATAGTGGATCACAGGCTAAATATGAGTTAACAGTGTAACACTTGCAAAAATAGTAAAGATCATTCTGGGATATATTAATAGCAGTATTGCAGGCAAGACACACGAAATAATTCTTCCGCTCTACTCCGCACTGATTAGGCCTCAACTGGAGTATTGTATCCAGTTCTGGGTGCCACATTTCAGGAAGGATGTGGACAAATTGGAGGAAGTCCAGAGAAGAGTAACAAAAACGATTAAAGGTTTAAATAACATGACCTATGAGGGATAAAAATTTCTCTCTTTAACTTCTGAGGATAGGTCAAGCAGCAATGGACTTAAATTGCAGCAAGGGAGGTTTAGGTCAGACATTAGGAAAAACTTTCTAGCTGTCAGGGTGGTTAAGCACTGGAATAAATTGCCGAGGGAGGTTGTAGAATCTCTGTCATTGGAGACTTTTAAAGGCATGTTAGACAAACACCTGTCAGGAATGGTCTAGACAATACTTAGTCCTGCCATGAGTGCAGGGAACTACACTAGATGACCTCTTGAGGTTCCTTCCAGTCCTACAATTCTATGAGTACATGGTTGGGTGTTGAAATAATGAAAATATCTGGTAAGTACAGTGAGTGCTGTGGGCAGAGGAGATACGACAAAATGGAATCTCTTAAGTCTTCACAAAGAATGGAGGAGACAGGAATCTGTTACCTTGTGTTTATAAAAAAAAGAGGACGACTTGTGGCACCTTAGAGACTAACAAATTTATTTGAGCACAAGTTTTCGTGAGCTACAGCTCACTTTGCTGAATGCATCCGATGAAGTGAGCTGTAGCTCACGAAAGCTTATGCTCAAATAAATTTGTTAGTTTCTAAGGTACAAGAAGTACTCCTTTTCTTTTTGCGAATGCAGACTAACATGGCTGCTGCTCTGAAACTTGTGTTAATAGTTACTGATGAGAAGTTGGAGCAATCATTAAAGGGACACTGTAAAACCTGGTTGGCCCTCAAATTAGCTTCTCTTTTTTGGTGTTTTCATTCACTTTGTGCAAAGTGAATAAATTACATGTGCATGCTTTTTATAATCAATATTACAGTGGTCTTAAAGAATTCTCTCAGTCATGAGCTACTCTATAACAATTCATTATGCATGCAGTAAAATGGGAAAAAATGTCTGGAGGGAAAGGAATTTGAGGGTGCTTATAAAAAATATCCTGCCAATGTCCAGTTAAAGGTTCCAGTAGCTCATTCACTCTGAGACTCTCCCATTTTTTTTCTCTTCTTCTAGCTGACTCCTTTTCTGGAAAAGGTCACTATCTGAAACGGATTCGCTACCATGGCCGAGGCATGTTTGGCATCATGGAGAAAGTCAAATGCCATTACTTTGTGAAGCTTGTAGAAGGCCCACCTCCCCCTCCAGAAGCACCACAGACTGGATTTGACCAAGCTAAGGAATATGTGCAGCAGCTCCGAAACAGAACCATTATTCATACACTATGACACTCTAATCTAGCTGTATATATATTCTTCATAGTTTGAAAATGTGTAAATAAAAATAAGATTGTAAGACAGTTTGTATTGTTTGGTTCTCAGTTTGCTATTGGCTTATTCAAGATCCACTGCATGATGCAAGGAGGCTCACAAGCTTATTTTTTACTGTTTAATTATAGCACCATAGATGTGTAACCCATGGAAAGGCAATGAGTATCCCTTCTCCTGAGAAGTTTGCAGTCACACAATGATACTTTCTTTAAACGTGTTTTTGGTATCTGTCTTACCAATTTTTCTCAGCCTTTGAATTGCCAGTTCTGTTCTCTGAATTTTATGCTGAAAATGGAAGAAATAAATTAGAAAATTCAGTTGTCTGTCCTTAAATGATCCACTAGTGCCTTGTATAGTAGCTGTTTTTGTTTCTCATGCTGTAAGTACATCTGCATGGGTACAAGGAACTTCTGGTGCAGGTCTGGTTGTGGGCTCAGGGCCTTAATTAGTGAAATGTACATAAACTCTTTAATCTGGCATAGGTACAACAATGTGACTAAAGTGTAGAGTCAGAATCAGACAAGCTCATAATTTCAGTCTCAGATCATCCATTTTATTTACTTTTAATATTAACCTGTTTATCTAGTGCTGGTCTATCTTAGCAGCTTCTGACACACAGGAAAGCTCTGTAGAAGATAGTCTCAACTATGCACTTTAAGTGGATTTGTTGATTGTTGGGTGTCCCTTACTCTGAAGCATCTTTGACAATTCCTAAAGCACATCTTTAAGATAATTGATGGGATTGTTGTCCCTTCAGTTGTACTGGATGCTTATGGCCCTGTACATAATGACCTCTGTCATTAAGTCTCCAAAAGAGATTAGAGGAGGGAGAATGTTGAGAGACTTAATCCAGGAGGTCTCTGGCAGGGAATTGCAGTTTCATTAGTGCCCTGGATATCAGTGGCTCATACACATTATAGAAAGAAGGGATATGATTTTTAGAGCCTGTTTCAGATCAGCTGCCACTGAGTAAAATAAGTCAACTTCAGCTTGGGAGCTTTAAATTGAGTCAGTAGGTGGCACTGTCTAGTTTGTGAGTGGTAGGACGATGCTGAAAACTTGTAATGTGTTAAAGCTCATTCTTTGGCTATCATGATGGTATTAACGGATACATGCACAGAATTCCAGCTGATCTCATTGGAGGCTTTGTATTGGTAGCAAGAGTACAACATGGAACAAAGTTTTTATGTGCTTTGTTGGTGACTAGGAGGAAACTAGTTTTTCTATATCATGCTTCAGACCAAATAGTGCCTTTGAGAGAGTTTTTGTGATACTGAGGCAAAGGAAATGCTCTGACCTTAATGGAGAATGATTTATTATACAATCCATAGAGTGGCTGTGTTATAAAACTCCCATCTTGTTGCTGTTGTGTCTCACTTCTATCTTTGAGAGAAAACATCAAGGTCTGCTTTATAGATGAGGATATATCCTCCCTACTAGGCAATAAAAGTTTCTCCTCACTACCTGATGCTTTGAACATGAAAGACCAAATACAGGGTGAGTTTAAGGTTCAATACCTTAACACGAGGCAGGGATGGGGTGAATGATCTGTAGCATGTCATCCACGAATGTCTGTATTCCAGACCTTCTTTCCACCTCTGGAAGCTACCCCTTGTGAGTGGAATGGAAGAGATTCAATTTCAGTTCTTATACTGCACCCATCACACAAGAGTCTTCCCCTGCCGGCTTAAGTTTCTATAACAATTGGATGATAAAGATTGCTATGTGGATACAAACAAACTGCAATTTTTATATAACTCCTGGTTAGGTTTTTATAATCTTGAATATCTCAAGTAAAGCATAGCATCATTCTGCCATGAGGTGTGGTACATAGCATATCTTGGGTGCTAAAATTTAAGCAATATGAGGTGCTAGGGGTCCTGAAGAAATAGGAAATGTATTCCCAAACCGCTACCATCAATGAGTGCTCATTTGTCCACTGGCTAACACTGTCTTGCATTCATGCAATAGGAGCAGCATATCTGTGATGCGGGGGTCACTCATGTAGTGAGCGCCTCTTAGTGGCTGGGTGTGGTACTGCAGGCCTTTCCTCCCCCTACCTGGTAAGCTATCAACCTCACTTGATGGCTCTTCAGTAGTTGAGCCACTCAATCAAAAATAAAACCCTTCCTGGGTAGAAAAAAGTTAAATTCTCTACCTGCCCTTCACCTAGGCTTCCCAACAGAGCCTTACCCTCTTCTCAGGGCTTAGGCCACTTTGCTAGTAGGATGGCAGCTGGGAGGCCTGGGCCCACTCACTACTCTGGGTCCCTGCACACTGCAGCTGTGTACTACTTCCTTCAGTTTGCTGTTGCTGTTCCCTGGGCATTTTCCCATGTAACCCCTTCTCTTCACCCTCACCTCAGGGCTGAAGTTCTCAAATCCTCTTCCTCACTGAAAGCAAGTATCACCAGAACCCATTTTCTGGTTCTCTTGCTCTCCTGTAACCAGCAACAAGCCCCCTTCTGTGCTCTGGTCCCAGCCAGGAACTGATCTGTTCATGCCCTGGAGCTCCTTTTATCTGAGCCTGCTGGGCTCTGGCTGCTTCCACAAGGCTCCTCTAGGCATGCCCGGAGGACCCAACTGTGCTGCTCCTTCCTGGGGCAGGGTGTAGAAGGACCACAGGGCCTCCAGCATGGGGCCTTAAAGGGCCCGGTGCATCCCATCACAGTATCACCAATGTGACTCCATTTTAGTTTTTCCTGAGTGGTACAACCCTAATAAAACAGGAAAGGCACGCTCCTCTGCAAATCTCTGATGCACACTGGAGAAGCCCTTCCTCAAAGTAGCTACATGCTACTAGCAGCAGCTGCCGTTAACCAATCCAGGTGAAGTGACTAAACTCTTTTTTAAAACTCCTGCAGCATCCTGTTGAATCTTTTATAGGGTAAATTATCACATTCAGGTGACTTAATCTGTTTGGGGTCCCTTTTGTCTGGGGAGGGAAGATCATTGAACTACAGTGTACACCCCTCCAAATTAAACACCAATTGTCATTTATTAAGCACTGTAATAAGTCTGCTCCCAGATATCCTTTCAAGTTAACTGTCTCTTGAGCACTAAAGGTTGTCCTCAACTTGCCCTTCAGATGTACACCTGACCTCTATACAAGGTTGTTTCCTTATATGAATGTCATTGCTCTACTTAAACGCGATCTGCAAACCGAGGGGCAGTGTTGTTTATATTCTTTTCAGCTTTTTTTATCATGCACTGCAGCCCAAAAGCTTAAACTAAACCCTCCTTTTTTATTTCCCGTTAGAAATGCTGTTTGTGTTTGGCCTGGAATGCTTCATGATAAATGGGGAACTACTGAAATGGGGACATTGCAAAAGGCAAGTCTGAACTACAGAAAGGAATTTCAAGTCATGGTCTAAAACTTTTAGGTAGGGGTATTAGCATCAGGAACTAACCTTTTGGGTGAACATCTTCGTTAGAGTCAATGTTCCTGTCCTTTTAATTAAGGTGTGGGCTGCTCACAAAGCTCATGCTTTGCACCCTGCAGCAGACCCAGGAAAGAACATTCTCGTTTTTCTTCTTAGCAAAAAAGACCATGAAAGAAATATCAAGCGGGAAAAACTCTATCAGAAAGAAGCACGAGCCCAATATCCTAAAAATCCTTCACAGGTTACCTTTCATTTCCATAACACCTCTTTCCATTGTCACCGGGTCATCGTGCTCTCAGCTGATCATTGCAATGTCTACTATGCTCTTGATGCATCTGTCCACCTTAGAATGCAATAAACAGGATAATTTGGGGGAAAGAATGAGCCTGGATTAGTGTGGCTGGCTGCTATCTTTCCACCAATAATAGGACAGAAATGGCTCAGCAGTGAATTGGTTTTGTTAACTTGGTGCATAAGAGCTTTAATGCAGGAGTTCATCTGAATCAGCTGTGGAAAATTCACTACATCTCTAATGCTACAAAGTTTTATGCTGTCAAGTGATATATATAAAAAAGTTTTGGGGTACTTTTTTTTTTTTTAAAACTTTCTACTGTGCTTTCCCAGTCAATAATCTGAATTTCAGTTAAGTTGTTCTGAGACAGGTCTAGACAGAAAATCCTGTACTAAGTACTGTAACAAGCCTTTGGCAGAAGGTGATCATTGACAGTGACCTCTAATTAAATAATACTCTTGAATAGAGTCCTACCTTGGGATCAATACATGGGCCTCTACTAATTGTATTAATGAAACATAGGACAATATAAACTCAGCATTATGTACATCTATTGATACAGGCATTGGAGAGCAAGCAAGCATGCATGAAGGAAGAGGGACCTGGAGAGATTAGAAGTTAGAGCTGTACTCAGTGACATGTGATTTAATGGAAGGAAATTTGAAGCACAATGAAACCTTTGCTCAGATCCTTCTCCAATAAGCAAACCTTTCAAACTGTCCCCAAGTTCTCCAGTGCACTGAAAAATTGAAGGTTCCCTATCCTTCAGTCAAACTTAACACCCTTCAGTGTGGTTTCAATTTCAGCCAAACATCTGCTCAGCTAGGTGAGCAGCCTTTTGGTTTTAAATAGTCACCATCAAGAGAGCTCACCGCAATAACTGGGGGAAGTCATAATCAGTTTAGAAGCATGATCAGGAGATCAGGCTGCTATTTTGTAAGATAGAAGACAAAGCAATCTGAAGGTGATGAATGATAAACTGGATATGATCTTGCAATATACCACTGTGATAGTGGCCAATGCCATTCTTAGTCTTGGCTGTATATAAGATACACAGCCACAGATTTACTCTTGGCTGAGTTTGGCAAGCCTGGTGGCCGTGCAGATGTTCCTGTTGGACTCCCCAGCTACAGCTGTTGCTTGCAGGGTCACATGGTGGAGAACATGCACATGGCAGAACCATCTTGGGAATGAGGTGACTCTATAAAATAGTTGCCTTTGGCTACTCTAGTGGCTGGTCAATGTCTGGATGCTGACTGCCATTAGCCAACGTTCATGGGCATTATTCTGCTGGAATGAAATAGTTTTAGTGTAGTTCAAGCATTGCTCATAATCCTGTCTGTCTAGTCAGGAGAGCAAAGGCAACTAGGAGGGTCCTGGTTTTTTATCCTTATTGAGTTGCCCAATGTGGTCTAGGGGTTAATTAGGTACTGGGAGTTGCTACTCCTGAGTTCTATTGCAATATGGGAGTTTGTACCCCTGATCACTGTTGCTGTATCTGGCACTGACTCACTGCACGACCTGGTCACTCTCTAAACTTCTGAATGCTTCACATATACCCACCTATATGAGGTACATAATCCCATCTACATCACAGGCATGACAAAATCAGTTTATAAAGCACTTGGAGATCCTTGGATTAA